GGTGTGTCGCGCGGTCGACACGGCTGCTGTGGTGCAGCGTGAGGTCCCGCCGGAGCGGGAGGTGTGTCGAGCGGTCGACACGGAGCCGGAGCTAAGGATTGACGAGACTGACTTCACGGCTGTGTTCGATGATGTGTGGACAGTCCGTTGGAAATGGGCCGGTGGCGTGGCTCCGCCCCCGCTTGGAAACTCGATAGCTCAGTACGGTGTGCCGAGTTGTGCGCGTGAAAAATTCGATGCAGAGCTGGCGCTGTGGATTAGTGAGGGCTGGCTGCGCGAATACGATGAGACGATGTACGGTCCCGCACAGGGATTGATCCCGTTGATGGTGGTTACTCAGGCAGCGAAGGACAAGGTGCGGCCGGTGTTAGATTATCGGGAACTCAATCAACACCTGACACGTCACACAGCCGACGCTGACGTCTGCGTGGAAGAGCTGCGAAGGTGGCGACGTCACGGACGCCGGGTCGCTGTCCTGGATCTGAAGAAAGCTTTTCTTCAGCTTCGTGTGGACCCGGCCCTGTGGCCGTACCAGACAGTCATCGTGCAAGGGCGGCGGTACTGCCTGACCAGGGTCGGCTTTGGGCTCAGTATCGCGCCTCTGATCATGAAGGCTGTGGTCAGGAAGGTGCTCGCACAGAGCCCCGGGTTGGCAGAGGCAGTGCTGCCTTACGCCGATGATCTGCTGGTCAACGAAGCGGTGGTCTCGGCTGATGAGGTTGCCGAGCACTTCGCTCGATTCGGGCTCACATGCAAGCCGCCGGAGCGGGTCGCGACCGGTGCACGTATGCTGGGCCTTCGTGTCGCCGAGAGCGACGGGCCGGCACTCCAGTGGAGTAGGGACGGGGAGTCACCAACGCAGGCTCCACCCGTGCTAACGCGGCGATCTGTCTTCGCGTGGGCCGGCCAGCTGACATCTCATGTGCCGGTCGCAGGCTGGCTGCGGCCGGCCGCTGCATGGATGAAGCGGACTGCCAACCGCCTCAGCCCGGACTGGGACACTCCGATCGTCAGCGAGGAACTACAACGTGAGGTGGATGAGGTGTCACGGCGGTTTCGAGCATGTGACCCGGCACGCGGCCAGTGGTGTGTGACAGGGACGAGCGTCGTGGTGTGGACCGACGCCAGCTCCATCGCCCGCGGTGTCGTGCTCACTGACCCTGACACGGGCGCCATCATCGAGGACGCGTCCTGGCTGCGTGCCGAATCGGAGAGGGACGTGCACATCAATATCTCAGAACTGGATGCCGCTCTCAACGGTGTCAACCTGGCGGTAGCATGGGGCTTCCGTCGCCTGACGCTCCGGACAGACTCGGTGACGGTGCACCGCTGGCTGAGTGACGCGCTGTCGGGTAAGGCAAGGCTGCGAACCAAGGCGCAGTCCGAAATGCTTATCCGACGGCGCGTGGCTGTTTTCCGTCAGCTCGTCATCGAGTACGAACTGGAGGTCACTATCGAGCTGGTCGCGTCAGCGGTCAACCGTGCTGATGAGGTGACGCGGGTGCCCAACGCCTGGCTGCAGACTGCCGACCAGCCAACCACTGATTCGTCCAAAGCACAACCGGTGGCTGTCGCTGCCATCACAAGTGCCTCAGCGAGTGACATCCGCACCATCCACGAAAACATCGGTCACCAAGGAGTGAGGAGAACGTTGTGGTACGCCCGACGTGAGCTGGGGGTGAGGCGGGTGTCAAAACCAGCTGTGCGAGACGTGGTCAGACGATGCCAGACGTGTGCCTCGATTGACCCGGCGCCGGAGCGCTGGCCCGGTGGGTCACTCGGAACAGAACGCACGTGGGATCGCCTGGCCATGGATGTCACCCACGTGCACGGCCACCCATACCTGACGCTGGTGGACTGCGGGCCGTCGAGGTACGCCATATGGCGACGGCTTCGCCGGGCAGGAGCTCTGGAGATTGTGAGTGAGCTGGAGAACGTGTTTCTAGAGCGTGGAGCCCCGGCGGAAATACTCACGGACAATGCGACAGAGTTCCGTGGCCGGGTCATGTTAGCGTTCGCGGCTCGCTGGGACGTATCCATCCGGTTCCGCGCTGCCTACGAGCCCGGCGGGAACGGCATCGTCGAGCGCCATCATCGTACCATCAAAGTGATGGTGGCCCGGCAGTCCTGCTCCGTTGCTGAAGCAGTCCATCGATACAACGTGACACCGAAGGATGGCAGTGACCCGGCCACAGCTCCAATCAACGGGGTGCTTCGACACCCTGGCCGAGACGTTGACGTGACGCCCCGCAGAACCTCAGACGAGCCTGGTGACGCCCTGCCGCTGAAGAAACCCGGTGTATACCAGGTAGGGGACAAGGTGTGGGTTCGGCGGCGGGGCGACCGATGTTTTGTAAAGTCAGACGAGGGTATTGTGACAGGCGTCGTTTCGGCCCAGACAATCGAAGTCGATAATGTCCCACGACATGTGCGAAACCTCCGACATCGGTTGACCGTCCCTGAATGTCCGAGGCCAGGGGCTCTGCGAGCGCCAACGGTGGAGTGGTCTGATGACAGCGAGTGTGATGGCGTGTGTGTGTCGCCAGCTCCGAGTGATGTGACGGAGTCGGACACGCGGCCGCCCAGCGTCGCTCAGTCCCCGGACCCCGATCCACCGACTGGGTCCGATGTGTCCGCAGACGAGAGTGAAACGTTCGTGCCTGCGACGCTGCGGCGTGGTACGCGTGTTCGAAGAGAGCCGGAAAGATATGGCGATGGTGTGCCAGAGGATGTAGTTGATGCGTTGATTGAATGACATGTAACATGTAGAGTAATGTGGTTCTTCAGAACCAGGGGGTGATGTAGCGTGACGCAAGGATGAATGTGAGCCGTATAAGTGTGAGTCAGCTTCAGCGTCGAGCTGTGAACCGGTGACCCAGCGTTGGTCATAGCCGCCGGCATCTGATGCCGGCAGGGCCGAGTTACACCCTGCAAGTAGCTGGGCCGGGCATGACGTATGGGAGCATGATTGGCTGGTTATGATGTGAGATATATGACGTATGACAGCGCGATTGGTTGGCGATGATGTGAGATGTGTGTCTGCGAGCTGTGGATGTGCCAGGAGGGGGATTGTGAGTTTAGTTGGCTGGAAGATGTAGAGGAGAGCAGAATAGATCTTCTTCTTGTGCTGGACGGTGACTTTTAAGTCAGTACGACACACTCCGAGCAGGCATGGCAGTTCCCAGCAATTTGTAGAGTCCAGCGCAATAATCAGTGCTCCATCTCGTCACTGCTTTCGATGCCGGTTGTCTGCAGTAATTGGCCGGCGGTTGTCCGTCTCTGCCGCGCCGCAGACGTCTCCGCCGCGCCGCAGACGCCGCGGCACGGTGACAAATGACGTGGAGCCGTATCTGACGCGCATCGGCGCCGCGCGGCCTATCCGGCGCGTATCGCGTCCGATCACCGGACATCAGTGACGGCGCCGTCACTGGCAGTCACCGGCGGAGCGGTGACGGGTCACCGGTCACCGGCATTAGGTCACCGGTCACCAGTCAGGCAGCTACGGTCACTGGCGGTCAGCGGCCACTGGTGGTCACCAGTGGGACTGCACTGGGTCAGCCAGATCACTGGTTATCGGTCTTGCGGTCACGGTTTTGGGTTACAGGTCACCGGTGCTGGGTCATCTATCGATGAACGGGAGCGTGGAACATTGGGGTATTTGCTGGTGTATCGAAGGCAGTAAGAAATTAACTCAAAATGGCCTAGTTCGGCAGTTGTGGCAACTTTTTAAGAATATCAAAGCTCCATCCATGGGTTTACTGTTACTTTATATTTTTTGATATCACTAATGATATTCCACATGCCTCAGGCCCTACCTCAATTCTAAAAACATGATCATTGCAGCCCTCTCGAAAAGAACCAGACGGCAAAACAGCCCTTTCTCGGAGCACTAACTCATTTGACCAGTAACCAGACACCTTGGTACCGTGGCCAATTTATCTTCTCATAAAGTCGGCATCCATTAGGTAAACCATGCTTAGCAGAGGTGGTATGCATATACATTTATCATGTTTGCGAGTATGATATATTCTAACTGTGAGAATATCCGATTACCCACATTATATATTTCAATAATTACTAATCAGAAGTTCTTAAAAGTCCTGTCTTGCAAATATTTTCAAATGTTGCATTTTGCACTCCATTTCAATGGTAAGTGCTTTGTTTAGTGGTTCCTGCAGGAAATACAACCACGGTCAACATCACGCTGCTGTCCGATGTGTCCTTTCCGTTTTGTTTATGTTTGTCTCACCAATCGAATATGTGCTCAGCACCTGGACAATAGTCGCCACTCAATACAAGGGGTATTTACAAGAAGTAATATATGTTTTCCTTTGCACTAGTCTCGTATCTTCTTGTTGGTCTGGAACGAGGCGATGAAAACCGAGTGTCGAAGTTGAGCTTATTTTGCTACTCTTCAATCAACAGAGGCATATGAAGTCTCAGGAGCGCGGGAACTACTTCCAGACTGGGGGGCACACCATAATAGAGGTCAACCATAGGGTACCCTCATATCTAGTTTTCCAGTTTCCACTGGTTTTAGGCCACCTATTTTTCACCCCTTGGCTTCTTCAACCAAAAAAGAAAACATTTTCAAAAAATGCGGTATTCCGTCTCAAAGTTGTGGGGCACCGCCCCCACGGCCCCAGAGTTGGGGGGGAAGCAGCCCCCACAGCCCCCCCCCCCCCTCCCCCCGGCTCCCGCGCCTTAATGATAAAGTCTTGAATCAAGACTCTTGATGCAATTTTCAGTTATTCTAAAACATAGCCTTCAACATAGTTTGTAAAATCTGCGTAATTCCTCAAATGACGAGTGCCGGTTTAGGTCTTGTTTTTGCGCCTCTGGTGGAGAACGTACTTCACTTCAGATGAGGTGCGATGATCTACTGCATTCCGCGTCGGACACTAACGTGCGTCGAGATCGGCCCTCGCGTGCCGAGATCGTCCCGCGCGCGCGGCACATCGTGTAACATTTGATTAACGACTCTTCTCTTCTCACCTCAGGGACAAACGGAAAACGACGGCAACCTCAGAGGACAACTCGGACAGCGACGACGAGCGGCGACCCACGGGCAGCGAGCACGGTGCCGGCGGCGACTCCAAGCACACCGCCGGTCAGCCGCAGCAGCCCCAGCAGCAGCAGCAGCAGCAGCTTCCGCAGGTGAGGTCACTGCCGGCGGGACTTCAAAGGCCGCCGGTCCGCACACCCGATCCCGCGTGCACGTGCGTTAGTATGTACCGTGATGTCGACCAGAGCCACGGGCGTAGCCGTCTGGTGTTCAAGGAGGATTACATAACCGGGCAAATGAGACTAATGACATCGCTCGTCGAGCAGTCATATCCAATAACGTCGGATTCCGTTTCAAGCGTATTGGATGTCGGTCAAACATACACAGTATCACATCAGAACTTCGTCCGGCATGTTTTGCATACCATATTCATCCTCGTTTGTGATAGCCAGCCTTGTCTAATGTAGAATTAATTTCAAAAGCGGCTCGGCCGCAATCCAAAACTCTCTAATTGCTGATAACGACCTTGCAACATCAAACGGGAGCCGTACGACCGCGCGCATTGGCTTCCGCTCAGTTTCACTCCCCCTCTTTCTCCGGCTCCACCCCTCTCCACCGTCGTCGGTGGTCTCTCTCTCGGGGACGTTTGTGGCGCGCTGTATCGATTTGCGGCGCAACTCTCGTCACGGTGACACAAGCGATGCACCAATGGGGCTGCGACGCGGCCGGGGGCCGGCGCGAATCACTTTATCGGCATCGACGCGTCGGCCAATTGCTTGGATCGTGTGACCGGGGCGGGGCCTCGAGGGAGGGGCGCTTCCCGCGCCGCGGACGGGCGCAGCCGATTATCGAGGCAGATCTGACGGCACTTCACAGCGCGTAAAGGGGAGAATGGGATGCGTTGGGTTTTTTGATTGACTACTAACAGCGCGAGGATAAGAATAAGGTGTGTTTCCACGGTTAAATATAGATAGGTACTTTTTATTCGAACAAAATCTATAAACTTATAAATCAATGAATTGGTCCCTTCATTTCGGTTGCTATTCACGTTATTCATGATAACCATTTGCTCGAACGGCGAGTGGCCGTCGCCTATAATACTTTCGAGTAATTTGCTGCAGAGGAGAATGAACAAAGAGCCACGAGCTTGCCATTTACTTTTAAAACAAAATTAATCAGACGGTACCGATTCGCCAAAAAAGAGATAGCGGAGTTGCAAGATTTTTTTTTCACGCTAATTTAAGACTCAAGCACTTGATGAAATAAAAGCCCACTTTGCACTATATTTAGCCTAATGCTGGAATTTCCCAATGGCAGGTGTTTGTCCAATGAATGCATGGGTTAATTCGTTAGTGCAATTATATCGGCTGTCATTAAAATTAATGCAATTGCTTGCTTAGCACTAGGAACTTATACATCACTGCAATAAAATTAAGATGAATTAATACGCGCCTGGTCGTGTCAGCGGATATTGCTATATGCGTCTAATAGGCCAGTTACCACACTTTCCAAAGCTAATAGAATTGACATCGTTTAAATGAGGGCAATTTGAACAAATAATGCATCATTTAGACCTTCAAATTGCACGTTTTAAGACCATTCGATTACCACAATTGCAACTTGCAAGCTGCCAGACAAAAATACCTTGAATTATTTTATTTGCACGCTACAAACCAGTGCCGTCGCGTGCAACAAAACGTTCGCCTCTATCTGGTGATTGTCGGCGCCGTATCCTCGGGATCTGTGTCGTTCCCACCGTGTCGATCAGACGGCAAGATTTGTCCGGCCATTTGTTTGCTACAGCACCTGAATAATGAGTCATTTCGGCAGCCGTCGGCCGTCGGCCGGGCGCCGCGGATTACACGTGTAATCGACCGGGACGAACTGCATCTTCATTGTCCACTGTTCGCGGAACGGCCGACCAGACGGCCGCGCCGCCCTGGACCGTGCACGACGACGGTCTGAGTCGGTGACTGAGCGACCGGCGACTTTTGCAGGCCGTTTCCGTGAACGGCTGGGCCGAGTGGCGACCGCCCTAAGCTCGGACAACCCCGTCTGTCTTGTTGTCGCGTCCCGTGTCGCGTCTGGACGGTGATTCTGGTCCGGCGCTTTCCCAGCGTTAGAGGTGGCTCTGGAAATGGAAACTCTGTGTACACCTTGAAGCTTTGTCGGCATCGTCACTGGCATTTCCCGTTACATCTGAAAGCATTATTGGCTTTCTGAGCTCGATTTTATATTTTATATTTTGCAGCTTCGGTTCAGCAGTGAACGTTTTCACCAGCAAACCCGTGCATTTCGTATGACCTTGTGTAACAGCGTAAAAGTGTAACGAAACTAAACAAATGTGAAAACATATTGTCGCTTTCCCCTGCAAATGCTTTATCTTTGCTTTGCATACTTTCTAATTGCAACGTAGTTGTTCAATCAAGTTGGCGCTAGCATTTGTTTCGTTAGGACGAGCATGCTCGTCTCAACGAAATGCTGCAGCATGTCAAAAACTGCGTTTTCCAGACCGCTTACGGCACTTTCTCTTTCGCAGAGTCACACCAGCGTGCAGCCCACCTCCATGTTCGACTTCAAGCCCGGCGGCGGGGGCGGCGACCCCCTGGGTGGGGGCGGCGGGCTGGGCGCGCCGTCAGCAGCCGCTGCCGCCGCCGCCGCCGCCGCCATGTACCACAGCCAGCTGGGTCAGCTGCCGCTGTCCGGAGGCCACGAGCTGCTCCAGGAGTACCCGGGATTGTGACAGTGGAGCGGGTGGCCGTCAAACGGGGCCGCCTCCGACAACGCCTGACCGCCGCCGCTGCATCCGCCGCCACCGCCGCCACATCCACCGCCTCCGCATCCACATCCACCGCCTCCGCTGCCGACGACGCCACCTCCGACGACGACGACGCCAAGGTGACTTCGTCAAGCTTCGGCTTCTTTTTCGGTTCTTCGAAAGGTCGACAGAGGTGACCCCGTCACGGGTGGTGGGTTAGGCTGTACAGCGCTCAAGTTTTGGGCAGCAACACCATCCCGAGTGCGAAACCGTCGGAACTGGGATGAGTCTCAAATGTTGCTGGACGCTGTGCAACTCTGGAACCTCGTGTTCTGAACGGTGAACCTGCGGGGAACGGACACCTAAAGAGCTTGGAGGAAGCCGCAGGCAACGTCAGCACTCAGCATCTTCTGCAGACTCAGAGGACACCTGGCGGCTGTCCCGCGGCGGCGCACAAGGTGACCTACCGGCGGTAGACAAAGGGGGCTATGTGAGCCGAACAGAACGGTGGACCCGCATTCTCCGTCCGTGTCAGCTGCCAGGCGCGAGTGACCCCGGCCTTCCACCTGTGGATATACTCCGTTCACTTCAACACTGTCCTCTCACAGACGCGTCGGAGAAACGAGCATCAGGCCGTGCCCCTAGCGCAGGAAGTTCATCGGACTTCAAAGCTCTCTTGATTGGCTTGTTGGTGATTTTCGCACTTCAGCTTTATGGTCTCGCTGAATCGGATCATGACGTCGAAGAATGAAGCATGTGCTTATGGAATACTCTCAAAATCAGCACGTGCGTTGTCTTGTGGGAAGGATGATGACCCGGGAAATGCTGGACTTTGTAAGGCCCAGGATGACCTGGGTTGCATACTTAATGGACCCTGGTCAGGTCTAGTGACGTCAGAACTGCTGGCAGTGACGCCAGAGACTGTCATTCAGTGACGTTGGCGCGCTGATACAAGCAGTGATGTAAGCAATGTCACTTGGAATGAAGTACCAGTGTTGTGATGAAACAGTGATTTATTTCGCGTGTTATGCGTGTGTATCCCCGTGGCGTGATTGTGCTCGTCGGTGTGACAAATGGTGGCTGAAAGAGTCTTTGCTTTTTATGTCTACAGAAGTTTGGTATTACAGGATTTATCACTCCTGGACTTGAGTTACCTACCACGCATGTATTTAATCTAACCTCTGCTCTTTTGCTGTTACCGAAGTCAAGTGTTTCGTCTTTGAAGCCAGACTTGCAGACGACCGCAGAGTCTCAGCATTCTTATGTTGTCATCCACCCGCCACAGCTGTTCTGCAGTAAACGTCTGCTTTTTCTTTTTATTTACCACTTGTCATCGGTATTGTCGGCAATGTTTCACTCAAAGAGTCGGTGTCATTAGTGGGTTCAGAATCACATGTTTCTGGGTGATGTGGACCGTTCAGCTGTCCTCAGCGTTGTTTTTGTTTGGCGTGCTCACCGCTCACTGCTCACTCGCACACATCTTGAGCTGCAGCATTGCGAAACTCTCAAAATCTCTTGCCGATCACACACCACTTTTAGCTGCCTCTCGCTGTTGGTGTCCGTTTCGTGGCCTGTACTACCTTCAAACGAATCTCGTCTCGCGCTTAAATATCGATTCTGTTTAATTTATCATGTCATTCTGCGAGCGAAAGAACGATTACATCATTCCCAATGTGCAGTACGTAGTTTCCAATGGTGTAGCGGTTTAGGCTGTCAAAGTCCTGGGAAGTGCAGCACTCTTACGAATTTGGTTTTGGTGATTCAACGATGGTTAATATTACCTATTATTAATAATTTATATGCATGATAGAGTTGTGGCTATTCCTTGCCTAGTTTCTGTGAAACGCAATCGCTGCTAATATAGTAATATACCGAGGATCGTCTATTTGTGTGATGGTAATAGTTATCAATGTATCCTTATCGTGCGTGCTGCAAGAAGCTAGGCATTGACCTTCAAGACTGGTCCAATGAGCAGTTGACCGTACAAGAAGTCCGCCCTGTAATATGTCAGCGACCGACCTCCAAGCGATCGCTGTAGACGTTTAACGGTAGAGTAAGACTCTGAATGGGAGGACTAAGTTAGTCACGGATGAACCATTTCAGCAATGGTAGCTAGGTAATCAGCAGCAATATGTTAGCTGCTTTCTGCTGTTCAGCTTGATTTCCAAACATCCGACATCGCTTCACCAAAGGCGAGCTCAGAGCTGCCGCAGCCCAGCCATTTTCACCGGCCGACACGACGCAGCCGTCCGCCATCCCATTAGACCTCGTCGCGTGTGGTCTGACTTGCAGACTGCCGTCCGCATACCGCCGCGGGCGCCGAACTGGCTGGACGGCCGCGGCCTGCAGCCAACATGGCGGGGAGCACTGCCTCCCCTCCAGTCCCCTGCCCTCGCCACACGTCCCCCTGGACCCAGGAGCGCCGCTAATGGGGGCAGAGTAACGACCCCATAGAGTGATGATGACGTCACAGAATTAATTGCTACGGCGGCGGCACGCGGCAGTCGGGACCGACGGCGGAGACTCGCACACGTGCCCCTCATCCTCAGACGGCTCGGGGGTGAACCGACACTCAATACACCGACTGAGTAATGATGAGCTAATGAGCAATTCTACCTGAAATCGTTCACGAGCGTGGCTAAGAGATCCTCTTTTTCCACTGATACTGAGTAACTGATGCGTGAGAGCGTGACGCCGTGTGCTACCGTCACGTGGCAGCTGCTCCTCATGCCCGACCTCTCGGCACACGCTCTCCTCCTGGTGTGTGCACTGTGCATCTGCCGACACCTCTTAACAGCGCAGGTGCGGGGCTCGCACTCGCTATGGGAATCAGTGCCTAGCATAGCCGAGATCAGTAAGGGTTGCGGCTTCCGTGTGGTTTTAGGGTGTAACAAAACATAATGTCGTGCAGTTAAATCTTCTGCTTCTGTACAGGCCCATGAAAATGAAGATAATCTTTCGAAATGGTCGTTTATTTTCGACTTTTCTCACCTGCAAACACGCTGCTTACCTTAATTGGGTGATGGAGGATTAACACGTACGGGAAGCTTGGTGAGTAGTGCCAAATCCTTTGCTGACAGGGATTCAACTGATGAAAAAAAAAACAAACAAAACATAAGGCGACGGAGCTATAAAAATGTAGACACCGCGAGGAAGGAAACGGTGGAAACGGCTGAGCTGCTTACTGAAATGAATGGAGGCTTGCGCATGTTACGAATTGTGAGCTATGCCCTTGACAAACGAAACTTTTATCGTAACGTAACCCATAGTCTTTACCTCACTAAGTAAACCCATTCGGTGAAATCACGAGCATTGCTTATGCTCAATTTAGCCTACCAAGCCAACCGATGGCATTCTTCCGACGCACTCACGGTGAAGTCCTCAAACTAGAGTGACTGCTACGCTCCGTATACAGAGCCCAGCTCGTCCGGTCCCGGCCGGACCCAGCCGGACCCACCGGACCCGCCTGGACTCACCGGACCCACCGGGTCCACCGGACCCGCCCGGACCCACCCCACCTCCAGGTGGCAGCGGTAGGTGTTGATTAATGGCAGACTGGCTGGACAAAGCGTTGGGCAGGCGGCTATCGCGCCATCGGCCGGCCGGCTAGATGCGGAGGGCGTTCTGTGGGCTGTCAACACGACGACGACGCGTCCCCGGGCGGTCGGCCGACCCGACGGACCGGCTGGAGGCGCCCCGTGAGCGCTAATCGGGCTGAACTCTGAGCCGACGGTCCCACGGTCCGCTCTGGTCCTAAGAGGTCAGGAGGACTCACTCTTCTGAGCCATCGTGGTTGGCCCCATGAGTCCTCCGGAGGCCGGAGAGAGTCGAGAGTTGCCGCGGCAGACCGTCGCCGGGCGACGGGGGTGGAGTCGGTGTCAAGAGCGGTGATATCGTCACACGCGGGCGTGGGAATCGGACGACCTGGGTGTCGCCCACCGGGCAGGTTTGACACGTCACCGAGACGGCCCGTCGTGATCGTCGCACGGCGTCTGATGGCCGCGACAGGTGTCGGCGCGGCTGTGACAGTTGTGACGCGTCTGTCGGCACTTCGATCGACAGGGTGTCGGCTCCTCCCCGATGGTGACGGCCCGCCACCGGCTGTCACAGCGGCCAACAGTCACAGCGAGACAGCCGAGATGACAGCTGGGAGGGCGCCGGATCGTCCCGGCTGCCTTAGGGAACTTTTGTGACGCTTTCGGTCGTCAGGCGTTTTACAACGGAATGTCGCCAGCGCATTGTTCCTGCCCTGGATAGGTCGTCTGCTGATAATGACCCGTAAACGAGGCCTTATAGCACAGACAGCCGCAAACCGGCCGCTCTTCAGTGATTAGAATCATCTGCCTAGGCACAGGCTGATTATCTGCGTAATGACAGTTTACCCAGGGGTTTTATGCGAGGGAAATCCGAGGATTTGATGGGGAGGGGAGATAGGCTCTCCACAGGGCTATCGTCGCCAGTACACTTCAGCGGCCTTTCAGCGGACGTGACGGCTTAGAAACGGGCGACAAAACACGGATTATGTCGTCTGCCAAGCGTACCGCTCGTCATATATAAGATGTCCGATGAACAAGTACGACATAGCAGCCGATTGATCCCTATATCCTGAAAACGGCAAAGAAGAGAGAAGAAACAATGAATTCGTGTGTCGTGGCTCGTGCTGTTCAGGGGCGCGGGAACTACTTTCCGACTGGGGGGGCACACCATAATAGAGATTAACCTAGGGTACCCCCAAATCTAGTTTTCTCACCGGTTTTAGGCCACTTATTTTTCACCCCTCGGCTTTTTCAACAAAAAAAGAAAACATTTGCAAAAAAAGTGTGGTATTCCATCTCAAAGCTGTGGGGGCACCGCCCCCACGGCCCCAGAGTTGGGGGGGCAAGCTGCCCCCACTGCCCCCCCGGCTCCCGCGCCTATGGTGCTGTTTTTTATCATCCTTAATACTCCTCGTTCAAAGTCTTATCCAAGTGTGGTTCTACCTATAATGCATTCACATGTGTGGTTTATTTGCTTTGCAATTGTATTTATTAATAAAATATCGGAGCGGAACAGGAAAGTGAATCAAATAAAGTAAATCTGCCAGGTATCAACTGCAACAGTTTCTTTAAATGTTTTGTCCCTTTCCGGTGTCATGGCATTGGCAAGACAGCAAAGGCATTGCGTTAGCCATCTAACGTTGGCCCCGGAAGTCGTGATGTCATCGAACACCGCCAGATGTCGTTTGAACTTATATAAACGCTCCTCAACGCCGAGGAAGGCATAAATAAATCATCAGCCTCGCCGCTGGAGCGACTCAAACGTTAGGAGCACGTGCAGCTGAAGAAAGGTCAGGAAGCTGCAATGACCTCATCATCGCAGTTTATCGGAGGGATGAATGAAATTCTATCTGGATATTCTGCAGACCCGAAACCGTTAGGCGAAGCCATGCAAATACGCTGGAGGATCATTAGAGATTGCACGGCACGTGTTCGAAGAGGACGCCCTCACATTCCGAGCTGCACGGACCGAACTCTAAACAGCCAGGCCTCTGAAAGGTCTAGCCAAGGCCATGTATAGTCTAGCTGTAAATAACACCCAAACTGGAGAAATGTGGACTTTGACCTCTGCCATCAGGTACGGGTCGCAAGCTATTCGGCTTTGACACTACATCTGCTGAAAATCAATGATTCTTTGTCTAAGAAATTGTCTCGAAGTTGCCTTCTACTTTGCATCTCGTTTATAAGCGGACTAGCGAGTCCGTCTCGGTACCTTCAAAACTGCCTTTCCACCGTATCCCCGAGAGGCGGACTGCACGTCGTTGATAAGACTATAACCACTCCAACTAGTGGTTGCCTCGGTAGCACCACATTTTGTACTGTTTTACTGAGTTCCTGTCAGCACCGTCTGTCCCCAGACACCACCCGCAGAGAGTGACGAAGAGAGGAGAGCGGCCAGACGGGACGAGAGGGGAGAGGGTTGCAGATGGAGCATGGAGAGAAGAAACGAAAGGATGAGCGTTTAGAGTGGTGAGGAAAGACGAGTTGACTAGGCCGTAGGTAAAGCAGTAGGGCAACGCCGAAGCATAAGGTTACCGTGATGCTCTGAGCTCGTGAAAAAGATAGAAGGCCGAAGAACAAGATGCAACTGCTTCTTCAACCACCGACCAATAACGCAAAATATTCACTTACTAAATTAATTATCCGCTTGACCACACCCAGCTTCCCAGTTTTCAGCGCTTCCTCAACACTCTCCACATGTGTCGCCCCACAGCAGTGTCGGCACCCTGCGACAGCAGCGGCGCAGGCGGGCCGCTGTTTTTCTGAATCGTGCCGCTATCCAGCCCGCATCTGAGCGCGGCGATCTGTGCGCGCCCTGCGCCACTATCGCCGCGCCATCTGCGCGTCGCGTCGCGTTGGTCGCGTCGTCCTGCGGTAGATTTTATCGCCGGTGTTGGGTTACCGTGATTTATCCGCGAGCGAAACGGCCGACAGCTGGCTGGTCTCCATGGCAACCTGAGAAGGCTGCTCCCCTCGCGGTTGCCGGTTGAGGTGGAGTTTTGTGTTTAGATGCAATCAGGACCAGTAGACAATAAACACAAAATGTGTGCGATGAGAGGTAGGTAGCTTTGTTTTGCCTCGAGTCAATTTGTTTTGCCCATGTTGGGGCTAGTGAGTCGCAGAAACCACCAATCGATTCAGGAAAACCTGCCGTATTGAATGATATGTAAATAGCGCTATGACTTCCTTCGACCACTTTGTGACCCGAGGAACGTTGACCTGAGGTCAACTCGCTATGCTGACCTGGCCCAAACAAAAAGCTTATCATTCGACGAGCTGAGTATAACAAACACGATGGTGCCCAAATCGCAGCTTTACGACCATGGCATGATCACTCGCC